TTATTAGTGGAGAAGAAAGGAGAGCATGGCAGACCAGCCTTACTGCAAGACTTAATCCACGAACTCGGACTGAACGATGCAAAACGTCTTTTCATTTAAACGCTTCCCACTGCTCGTGCAGAGAGGCCTTGACAGCGTCGTCGGCGAAAATCAAATCGATGGCACCACGAGAAATGCTGAGCAGCTGTGCCTTACTGAGATTGAACGCGTTGGCCGCATGAAGGTACTCTTCAGACAAAGTGGTGGCAAACACACCCTTGTCATCCGTCTGCGCACACAACAACAGCAGCAGCAGCAGCAGCAGCAGCAGCAACAACAACAACGAAGACGATGCCCGATAACAGTGACCAGAACATTTCAACAACATCTCCAGCGGCGGCGAAATCAGAAGCAGCAACAACAAACAAACAGCAGCCATGCGGTTTGGAAGAAAAGCCTGAAACATACAGCTCATGCACCTGGCATGCCCAGCATGTCAGCCTCTTGCCTACGGGATAGTGCTTTGGGTGTGTGTGTGTGTGGGGGGGGGGGGGGGACACATTCCATCTGTACATCCAGTTATGGAGAATACTGGAAAGTCCAACAAACAAACAAACAGGACGGTATTCACAGCTCTCGTGTCACCATCGCCAGGCACGGCAGTGGTCGGATGTCACCATCGCCAGGCACGGCAGTGGTGGGATGACACCATCGCCAGGCAGGGCAGTGGTGGGATGACACCATCGCCAGGCACGGCAGTGGTGGGATGTCACCATCGCCAGGCACGACAGTGGTGGGATGACACCATCGCCAGGCACGGCAGTGGTGGGATGACACCATCGCCAGGCACGGCAGCGGTGGGATGACACTGACACAGTGTGCAAGGTACCGGGTAACGTGTGAACCTACTACAGCCAGCGACTGCTCACAGAAACAGACTAACTGATCGCCACTCAAGACAAAATGCACCAGCAGAATGAACAACGTTGCAGTAACTATCACCGTCAAGTACTGCCAGAGCGCCCCGTCTCGCGAGAGCGCCCCGCCCTGAACTACGGAAAGAGGACTCTCGTTTCCGGCAATAGAAGTGAACGTCGTATGGTCTGGTGCGACTGAAGTCATACGGGGTTCACTCTGTTTTTTGCAACATTGGGGTTGCGTCGCATTTTACTTGTACGGTGAGCCATGTGAACTGCAGTGCCTAGCGCTGCAGCCAGCACCAACTACATGCAATTTACCTTCATACAGCTGCTGTTCCTTCACTGCGACAGTCGCTGCGTAGGTGTGTGTGCATGACCCCAGTACAGAGCACCTCACACACACTCGCGGCCACCCTGCCTCCCCAGAGCGCCCATGAAAGGACGATTGGTGGGGTGCTCTGGCGGTATTTTTTGGTAGTTAGAATAATGCAATGGCATGCACATATGCACAAACACACACATACACGCACACACACACACACACACACACACACACACACACACGCGTGCACGCGCACACACACACACACACACACACACACAAATAAATGCACACAGAAAACTTACACAAATACAGAGCGGATGTCCACGTGAAAACCAATACAGGAAGTGGTGGTCAGAGTAAGAGGTCACTGTGCGACACTTGACATTCGATGTTAGACATGCCTCTGAAAGAAAACAAATGAAAAGAAGAAACACACACACGCCAATACCACCAGTAAAATGTGGGGTTGGTGCACCAGCACCAGCAGCACACACCATGTAACATGCATACACCCGTCGCAAGAGAAGCACACAAATCTACAAATGCACTGGATGTGCACCCACTGACTTTCTCTTATAACAACAATAGCGAACAAGACCTGAATGAAGCAAATCAACTATCTACATGTAATCCACACAACTGGCGAAGCCATGTGAATCGACCACCAATGCACACCTGGTCTACACCATACGGAGCACATCGGAATAGGACGGCCAAGACAGTTACCTGTGCACACCCTACACTTGCTGGGGTTACCAGTATAGACACGGCACTGATTTGATAAAAGCAGACACTAGATATACTAAGTATACAGGGGTGATCCGGGTACCCGTCTGTTTACCTGCTGATCCGTTAGCAAGCGAGTACTCTAATTTCAGAAATTTTCGGCGCTCAATATTTTCGGTATGAGGGCAAAAGGCTAGGTTAGGTGAACAGAAATTTTCAGTACAGAGAAGCAGTTCCCTATTGGATTATGTGCGTTAGTGTTTGTTCGGTGTATTGACATTTTAGGTATGAAACAGATGCACCGAAAGTTCCGAAAATATAAGTACACTGAAAATTTGTGAAATCACAGTACCCGTTAGTCGTGTACGACGGTACGGTACGGTATTATTAGCTGGCTTGTACGGTCGTACAGTTTGATGTACAGTTTGAATGTGCTGTTGCTGGTTTGATCCAGCTACATATGACAATTTGGACTGTTTTGCATGTAGCGCAGTAAGTGTGCATGCTGCGCTTGTCGCCATGTAGTGCACTTCCTGTGAATAGCATGACATCGCATGTCGTCCTGGCACGGAATGTGGAAGGCTATTGTATAGTAACTGTCACTATTGGCTGCTAAAGGGTACCCGATAACCCGCCCGTTAAGCCACGTACCCGTTTGTAACCTTAAAGGGTAACCGTTTCACTCCTCATACACTTGCACACACACACACACACACACACACACACACACACACACACACACACACACACACGCGCGAGCGCGCGCACACACGCACGCACACACACACACACGCGCACGCACACGCGCACGCGCACACACACACACATCTGAGCTGTTGAGGTGCGGTCACAGAAGTCAACACTGGGACATGAACTGGTGCCGGGCAGGACAGGGCAGGACAGGGCAGGACAGGGCAGGACAGGGCAGGACAGGGCAGGACGCAAACTTGATTCACACGGTTGGATTTCAAGGAGCAGCATTGTAAGTTAAAAAACAAGCATTCCTCTGTCCGCACCCTACTGCATGAACAACCCCTGCCGAGCAGACCAGTCAGCAACGGCATTCAGACTGTGCGCACATCTAGCACCTACGCACATGGGAAAGCCACGTTGGCTCCAACTCAAGCCAACCAACTCACCAATGGGTCACATGACGGCGGCCATGTTGGTTCCACTGTCCACGTGCCACAATCACTTTCTACACGAATAGAGCCCATTGCGCAATGACGTAACTTGTACCGCCGACACCCCATACAGCCACCTGGGCATGGTCGTCTGGGGTGTTGAACAGTGTATCCCTGATCCTAGCGTACTCATATGCATTACTCATACATTCCATATTTGGCAATGCACAATGTGTCAATGGGCTTATAGACCCACTACAATCTCGTTCTTACCTAGAGGAAATCGTCCTTTGGATACCATGGCAACAAGGTTCTCACTGCCGCCATGATCGCAATGGAGACATGTACCATGGCCTAGACGATCCAGTCCTACGGATAGCAGCGCCTCTGTGCCTTCTATGTCGGGAATCTACGTCATCAAACACGGCAATCACACAAACACAGTCGTAATGAATGCATGGTTCATATAATGCACGTGTGTGCGTGTGTGTCTGTGTGTGTGTGTCTGTCTGTCTGTCTGTACGTGTGAGTGAGTCTGTGTCTGTCTGTCTGTGTGTATGTCTGTCCGTCTGTCCGGTTCAGACAAACCTGTCTGAGCTGACAAGTCAAGGGATCTTCAACATGTGGTCTCCGTGTACAGGTGGTCCCCTTATCCAAAGTCACGTGACTGCAAAATGCAAATAACACCCCTTGGTTCTACATGCAGTGGTCCTCTGCGACAGATGGTAGCATTCACAGTTCTAACCAAGTGCAGTGCTGGCCAAAGAAATCCAACCTCATTAATATAATAGAGCCGGGGCACTATGCAGCCCTAGCACTACAAACACTGCAGGTCTGTGCACTCCAGCCCTAGCACTACACACACTGCAGGTATGTGCACTCCAGCCCTAGCACTACACACACTGCAGGTCTGTGCACTCCAGCCCTAGCACTACACACACTGCAGGTATGTGCACTCCAGCCCTAGCACTACACACACTGCAGGTATGTGCACTCAAACGCAGCGCTACTATATTCATGAGGTTGGATTTCTCTGGCGAGCACTGAACATAACCTTCCAAGATTGTGCAACTCTTGACGCCCGTTTTTATGGGGTTCACCGACGGCGAAAACTCACATCACACAGTGCCTTGGTCCCATTGTACATTGCCAGTCCACTTTGACCAGAGGAGTTGTAAAAATAGCACTCCTGGCAGAAACCCACTAGGCTTACTGTAGTGTCGCGTATAGAAGCATGACCCGTGTAGAAGCATGACCCGTATAGAAGCATGACCCGTATAGAAGCATGACTCGAATAGAAGCCGATTTTTTCGAAGCCATGACACAGAATCATGATTTGAATAGAAGCATGCATGTAGCATGTACTTGCACACTACATAAGTGACAATGTGTGCACCGCACAGTGTAGACTGAAGATGTTGACGTGGAAGCATGTTTTCAATACTTCGAAGTAGCATGAATTGAATAGCAGCATGATTTGAACGCCGGCTTATACGGCCGTAAGTAAGTAAAGAGTAAAGCTAGCCGGATTTGTTGAGGAATACATCAAGCAAAAACATTCGCATCGACGGGCCACCACTTCGCCCTTATATCCTCAGTGTCGAATGCAGATCTCACAAGAGTGTCAGGGGAGAGGTGATAAGTCTCTCAAACAAGTGGGCGTGTAACAGGCCTATAACCCCATAAACCGCATCCCTGCTGTTTAATACCCTCACTCCGAGTACGTGAATACCCATTTCAGCGTTCACCGTGGTCTTCATCGTATGCAGTACAAATCCTACTTGGAACACGTCATGTAGGAATTTTCGCCGTCGAAAACCCCATATCCAGACATGCACACTCTTGGGAGAGCACATTAAATTTTATCCTTGGATTTACAGTACATGCACCAAGGAAAATCAGGTTAGTATACCTCCGCAGCATGGA